GGGAGTGATAATTTACTTATCAATTGGAATCTTGAAGAACACTCCACGAATCTCTCTCTAAACAAAATGCCTGTACTCATTTGTACTTCTTTTTTTTAGTACTTCGAAGTAACACAAAAATCTTGTAATTTTATATATTTATATATATATATATATATATATATATATATATATATATTATAAGCAAATTATTATTATTAGCAAGTGTTTTTATACAAGGATTTTTTTGTTGATTCTGGGGCCTTTTTTGGAGGCTCTAAGGATCTCACAACAAATTGATTTATCATATTAATCATCATGAACAAATTATTATTTTTAACAAATCTTTATATACAAGAATATTTTGTTTTAATTTTTGGGGTTCCTTTTGGTGGTTCTAAGGGTCTAGACCTAGGGGGTCATTTTAATTTTACAACAAATTGATCGATCAGTTGTATTATATTAATCACCATAGATAAATTATTATTTTTAAAAAGTCTTCTTATATATGCTATTTTTGTCTGTTTCTGGGACCTCTTTTGTAGGCCCTGGAGGTCTAGGGGTCCTTAGGATTTTACAACAAATTGATATAACATATTAATCACTATGAACAAATTATTATTTTTGATAAGTCTTTTGATAAAAGAATATTTTCTTAGTTTGTGGAGGCTCTAAGGGTCTAACAAGGGGTCATTTTACAACAAATTGATTTCTCATATTAATCATCATGGACAAAGATTATTTTCAACAAGTTTTTTTTATATACTATTATTATATACTTTTTTATATATATTTGTTTTGTTTCTGGCGACCCTTTAAAAGTCTCTAAGGGTCCTAGGGGGTCTTTTGGATTTTACAACAAATTGATTTATCATATTAATCACCATGGTCAAATGATTATTTTTAACAAGTCTTTTTTATATACTATATTTGTTTTGTTTTGGGAGACCCTTTGAGAGTCTCTAAGGGTCCTAGGGGTCCTTTGGATTTTTGATTTTACAATGAATTGATTTATCATATTAATCACCACGGACAAATGATTACTTTTAACAAGTCTTTTTACCTCTTTTGGAGGCTCTAAAGATCTAGGGGTCTTTTTGACCTGATAAAATTTTGAAATTTTTCAAATTTTGTTTTTCCAAAATATTCAGCATATTTATTTAGTTTAATATTAATCACATGAACACTTTCTGATTTTTAACAAGTCTTTTTACTTTCAAAGAATTTTTTTAGTTTTAGAGCCCCCTTGGGGCACACTTGAAGCCTCTACGGGTCTTTTGACCTTAGGCAGTTCTGCAGTTTATTTTATTTTATACGAATTGAAAAAATATTGTATTTATCTAGCATGAATAGTTACCCGACTTTGCATTAGTAAATTTTGCTTAAGTGATTACTAAAAGAAGTTTTTGAGTATACCGAGTTGTTGTATCCATTGCTGTTATAAGAAAATGTTGTTTATTATTTAATTTTCTACAAATTTTGTGAATACTACATCCGTACTAATCGAATGGATTAAAAGTTGCAAAAGATATAATAAATACATAATCATAACTCTTACTTTGGTAGCTCTTTTTTAAAGCTAAGGACGTTTTTCAAAGGAGTTTTTAGAGTATAGAGAGTTATTGTAGGGTCTTTTGTTGTTAGAAGATGTTGTTTATTATTAAATCTGCAAATTTTCTTAATACATGATTCATATTAATCGAATGGTTAAAAGCTTACAACAGATACAAATGAATACACGATTGCAAATCTGACACGATTATATTTTCAATCTGTTTTTTATAACAGGATTATAGTTTGGTATTTAATTGCAATTTATGAGTATACCGAGTTGCTGTAAGAACTTAAGTTGTTAGAAAAAGTTGTAGATAATTCAATTTTGAATAAATTCGCTCCTTACATCAATCATATTAATCGAATGGTTCTGAAGTTACATCAGTTATATGAAAGCAACGCACTTCCGCAGGACCAGGATATTCAAAAACGATTTAAGAATATACCGAGTTGCTTTAAGGTCTTTTATTGTTAGAAAAAGTTGTAGACAATTTAATTTTGAACAAATTTGTCTCATACATCATTCATATTAATCGAATGGTTTAAGATTCATAGACAATAAACTAAATAAATGCTTATGGCGATTTAAAAGTTTTTTTTTTTTTTTTTTTTAATTTATCCAATATATTGGTTACATTTTATGTAAATACAGTGAATTATATATGAGTTTTTCTACCCAAGGGTATTCTACTCAAAAATTTCTATTTTTACATTACTTTCATTGCTTATTTATATTTATACAATATTTTATACATTAAACAAGGACAAAAAAGGAAAAAAGTGATTTAAAAGTATATCAAGTTGTTGTAGGTTTTTATGATATTAGACAATATTGTACACCATATGATTGTGTAAAAATTTGCCAAATACATCATTCATATTAATCGAATGGTTTAAAAGCTACAGGAGATATAATAAGTGAATTGCGGCAGTATATATTTAAATGCGTGTTTAAAGTATACCGAGTTGCTGCACAGCCTTGTGTTGTTAGACAATATTGTAGATAATTTAATTTTAAAAAAAGTTGCTACAAGCATTATCCATATTAATCGAATGGTTTAGAAGTTACAAGAGATATAACAACCAAATGCATTAAGTCTCATGAACAATGTCGGTTAAAGTTGCACTATAAATAGTACAGCGGTCTAATATAAAAATCGAAAAAATATTAATACATGTATTAATCTATTAATAACCTATTTAGCTAATTATCACATGTGTTATTAATTCATTTAATCGATAAAGTCGTTTTGTTTTGCCTCGTAACTTTGTTTTTGCAATTTTTCCGCATTGACTGTACGGAGTAAAGTATGGTAGGCGACATTCAGGCGCCTATATAAGGTTATTGGCGAATCTATAATGTGTGTATATATATATATATATATATATATATTATACTAGCTGACCCGACAGGCTTTGTCCTATACCCATGTCTACAATTCAAAAAATCTATGCTCTTTTTTTTAATCTTCGAGTAGGAGATTCCGCACTCAATTCTTTTAAATATTTTTTGGGTATCCTGGTAATTTTTGTAGTATTTTTTGAAAATTATTCAGTGAAACCCAAATCAGCCACATCACAACATATAGCATATATCAAACAAAGATATTGAAATATGTTCATTAAAAATGTATATACACTACATTTCTTAGAACGAATTTATTTTCAATATATCAATAATTATGTTTACTTCAATGTCAAAGAATCATGGACCTTACACTACACGGACTGTTCGTCAAAGGATAGAATGGGGCTGTGACATCATTTCCGAACGAACATTGCCGACAATCGTGGAACACACCCGATTGATGTCATATGTCATATGCCATATGTCACGTGCTTAGCCTATAAAATAAATCTTGTGTTTGAAACTGAAATATATAATTCATCTGCCAAACATCTACTGTATCTTATATTATTTTATTTTCTGGCACATCTCAGCTGCTTTTTGGCAATAATAATTTAGTCATTACATTTGTCTTATTCTATATTATATTCTAATATTTTCTAGACTCATAATTTAACCTAAATTCAAAATTCAAGTGAATTGATACTTCTGGCAGGCAACAATTCTCATGTGTAAACAAGTTTTCAATGTCAAACAATGATATATTGTTTTTTTGTTTTTTTTTCTACAATATTCCTATAGTTTTATAATTCATCACATCTTAAAAATTTCCTTTAACAAGCTTCAAAAAGATTTATCAAAAACCGAATAACCGTGTAGGAGGAGTTTGAATTCATGCATCCGTACAGAAGAATTATATATATGATATATTTAAATATATTCTTTATATATGTTTATATGAATACTAGAATGCTATAAATTGGCATTAGAGTTATTTATTTTCTTTATGTTTTTAATGTCAAACAATGACATGTTGTTTTTCGCAATTTTTTCGTTTATTTCTAAGTATTACTATAGTTTTATAATTCATCACATCTTAAAAATTTCCTTCAACAAGCTTCAAAAAGATTTATCAAAACCGAATAACCGTGTAGGAGGAGTTTGAATTCATACATCCGTACAGAAGATTTTTTATGATATATATTTTGTATGATATATATAAATATATTTTATATATATATATTTATATGAATACTAGAATGCTATAAATTGGCATTAGACTTATTTATTTTCTTTATGTTTTCAATGTCAAACAATGACATGTTGATTTTGTGCAATTTTTTTTCGTTTATTTCTATAATATTACTATAGTTGTATAAATAATCATATCTTAAAAATTTCCTTTAACAAGCTCCGAAAAGATTTATCAAAATGCGAATAATCGTGTAGGAGGACTTTGAATTCATACATCCGTACAGAAGAATTTCAATACGATATATATATATATATATATATATATATATATATAAATATAAATATATATATATAATGCTATAAATTGGCATTAGAGTTCTTTTGTAAAAATATAAAATTAATATAAAATTATGAATATAACTGTAATTTTGTGCATATATAAGGGTGCTAGGGGTTTGTTGTAACAGTTTTTTTTCAACAAATTAATTTATCATGAGATCCATCGATTATATTTCTACAAAATAAAGATGAATAGCTATTTCTCTACCGAATATAATTCCACAAGTGTTGTTCATTATTTCACAATTAATAATTTTCTAGAAAAAATGACGGACCTGCACACTTCTGTCTACTGCGTCGGCCTGCGGGACTATTACAATATTATGCAGGACGGTTTGCATGTCCAATCGAGAAAAAAAAATATTGAAAAACGCCTGTTACTACTTACCCCTGTTACAATAAGCCCCTAGATTCCGTATACATTTTTATAAATGAAAATTAATATTTTATTAATTCATTACTTATTCCCTTATAACCCTCAGTGTTCGTGTCCTTCGCGCTTATACAATTTTTCTAACTTAAAAACCAAGTGATACAATTATACAACAAACTTTTTTCAAAAAAATTTAGTGCTTTATATAATTAATAAAAAATAAAATTGATGTAAAATAATGATATTGACGATGGAAATCGATACTGGTCAAGATATCTGTTCAGATCACCAGGTTGAACATTTAAGGAACAATTTGGTCGACCAGGACATCAACAATGGTTGTGGAAGTGAAGAAAATGGTTTAGGAAATGAAGGTGAGTAGAATGGATAGTTTTTTTTTGACACCAGCGCTCTCACTAATTGAGAATTTATGCAGGCAAATTTGAATACAATTTTATCAGCTACTAGTTTATGGTTGAGCATTTTTTTCTTAACTCCAAAATTGTCTCGTCTAATTGAATTTAATTTATGCTGGTACCAGGGATCAACACTGCCCAATATAAAACATGTATATCTATTTTCCAGAACACGTCGAAGCCATCCTAGAACGTGATATATCACGCCTAGAACAAGATATAACAAACTTAGAATACGGAATTCTGAATCATACGACACCAACCCAAAGTGATATTACAAATCTAGAACAAACTCAAGAACCAAATCAACAATTAGCCATATGCGACAGTGATATAACACATTCCGAAATAGATATAAATAAATTAGACCTAGACGATATAACAAGTGATATAAATAAATTAGAAAGCAATGCTGCACATTCCCAAAGTGTTCAAGATGATGATAGTAGTTTAGATGTAACTTCTAGTATGATAGATCATGATATAACAAGTGGATTAGACTATAATGGACATGGTTTGATTGAGCAAGTTGATATAACAAGTTCTAATGCCGATATAACAACATTAGATCGTGATAGAACACCTGGTGCTGATGATTTGGATGTTGCAATGTGTGCTTCAAGTACTATTATATCTTCAATACAAAATGCATCAAGTTTAGGACCAGATATAACATGTTCTAATGGTGATATAACTAATTGTGAAGGAGATAGTCAAGATATGGTTACTGAAAGCCACTTGGATCATAAACCAGGTGATTTGATTATTTTATGATATCATTGTGATAAAACAAATGAGATATGGCACTATTAACCCTTTGTACTCGGATGCCGCCGCTCCGGAGTCAAAATACATATAAGTTCCGGAATTCGCGAGTGGAAAGGATTAAATAGTGATATAACGCATGATAATGATAACTTTATATCTATTTTTTATCACTTTTAGGTCAACCTGCAGTTTGTGAACCTGATGTATCAACATGCCCTTCTACTAGTGGTGTCAACAATAATAATTGCGACGAAGTAGATAGCATTTTTAGTGCAAATTTAAATTTGACAAATATTTCAGAGCAGGATTTATTCAAAGAACGAATTTATAGAAGTTTGTGCGTCAGCAAATCCGTTAACGACATGGGAGTGCTTTACAGGAAAGGAGAATTTGAAGGTATTTCTTAGATCCTTAAAAATTAGTAATTAATTTCATTTCCTTAAAAATTATTTATTATTATTCTTATAATAATATTATTATTATTGATTAGCCCAAGGATCCATGCTGCCACCAGTGCCCTCATTTTCGTCGCCTCAAAATGGCGTCCAATGTCAAAATGGCGCCAGGAGAAAGACCCCACCTGCAAAGGAAAGTGGTTCTATAAAAAAGAGTAAACAAAAATTAACCAACTTGGTTGCCAACGACATCGATGGCGAATTTGCCGAATTGGCAACAGATGAGACACCAAATAATTCCTCGCCAGTGACGTACCCGCCTTTATGGACAGGGGTGGACGCGAGTTCGGATAATTCACCTATGTCAACGCCGGTAAGAATTGTAGACAGACCTATTGGGTAAGAAACTTGTTTCTCAATTTACATATTTATGGTTTGTTTTGACAGGTAAATAATTCGAGTGCTCCTCCTCTGCCGCCAAAATCGAGGAACCATAGGCCTTTACAAAGGGTTCCTAATGCAAAAAGTGCTGTGGTGCCTCCTAAAGTTGAAAGGGGCCGAAAACCGCACGCCACTGGTGTCAATGCTGGAAACATGACTCATAATGATCATGTTAAGGTGAGTAATAAGTAAATATATAAATTTTGCTATCATGTTCTTACTTAATTATATCTTTTCTCCAGGAATCCTTCAACTTCGACATAATAGACACAGACGAGCAGTTCTTTCAAACCTTAGGAGGCACATCTGGCGACGTCTACAAAGAATATATGTCCAACTACCAAATATCAGACGACATCATCAATTTCAACATGTCAACTGAAAATGACAATGCAATCCTGGCCAATAAAAACACCACCAAACCTCAATTGAAGAACAAGAAAATACCAGTAGCCAAAAAAGCGGACCAGGATGAAAATTTGGATCTCAACAATCTTCCTCCAGGTTGTTCTAAGGATTTGGTTAGATCAGTTGAGGAGGTGCAAATGAGGCCTCATAGGCCTTTGCAGAGGCAGACATCTGGTAGAAGACATGCCAAGACTAGTTCTTTGATTTTGTTGTCTGATGGCCAGAATTTGGATGCGAGCGAAATATTGGAGATGCTGCAGGCGAATATTAATTCGCCGGGGATTAAAAATGTTGGGCATAAGAATATTTGTAAGATGCATTCTTGGGACGAGACCAGGGATGGAGGAGAATGCAGAAGTAACATGGTAAGAAAAAAGGATGCTGATGATATATTTTTTATTTTTTTAAATCAATATTGGCCAAGAACTTTTTTTTTAGTAAAAATACATAACTACAAACTTGTTTAGGAATCTAGCATTTTTTAAATAGAGGTACTTTATCATTTTAGACCAATATTTAGTCTGGATTTTCAAGTTACAGAAAATATAGTAAATAAATGTATATAATGTTAAAATAATTTATAAATAAAATAAGTGTATTTTAAAATTTGTTGAAAGTATACTGAGTTGCTGTAGGATAGGGTCTTGTATTGTTACACAATGTTTGATTTTATATATAGAGTCTTTTTCTATTTTAGCCTTCAACAAGTAGAAGTCTAAGACAACATTCAAAGTCTTTAACAAGACATTCATCAAGGAACAATCATCGTGAACAAAACTTGGTCCAAGAGGATCTATTGAACCCTATTTGCCCACCAACTCCAACACATCATGCAAGAAGGCCAAAACAAAATAGGCCTGAAATTGGTAAATAATAGTAATAATAATAGTAATAATATTTATGCATATATATCTATTAATTTATTCATATTTTTAGGTCCTTATCCATTGGAACCAGAACAAGTACCAAGTCCTGAAATTCGTGTTGCTGATATCAGGCCTTTGAACCACACTAGGTACAGTTTTCTTTTACGATTTTAGAGTATTTTGAATTGCTCTAGGGCTTTATGATGTTAGACAAAGTTGTAGATGATTTTATGCTACGCAAACTTATCAAATATTTTGTTTAAATTAAGCTCATAGTTTAAAAATTACAAGAGATATCATAAATAATTGCAGGTATAACATTCGACAAATGGAATTGAGGACGTCAGAAATCAGGACTGATACAGATTGTCCTGATGGAACTACTGATGTTACTTCTTCAAATAATGGTAATAATATAAATAAATAATTTTTTATATATATATATATATATATATATATTTATTTTTAATTTTCTAGATGATTCTTCAACAGTTCTCCCAGACTTCTCAATGATTCCTCAACTCAGACACCTTTCATCTACAAAGATTACCATCAATACCAGAAAGAAGCAGCAGAAATGTTGTTGTCAATAACCAGGAGATAAATAATGAAGAACCATTGCCACCAAGTATAAAATTAATATACTTTTCTTTATAAATAAATAACTACCAATAAGCATGGTTAGCAAATTTTTATTAGCAACATATTACAATTGTTACAGTAATATTAATAATGCAAACTTGTGTATGTGGTATTTTGTCTTCGAGTAAATAATTGAGAATATCAATTTATTTACTTTAGTGAAAAGTGCACATAATTTACTAAAATCTTTTTATTACACATAATAATTGTAATTTTTAATAATTTATGGATTTAGTTTATCAATAATTATTTATTTACTACTTTTAGCTTGGGAAGCAAGAATGGACAGTCATGGAAGAGTTTTCTATATAGATCATGCTTCAAGGACAACCTCTTGGCAAAGACCTCAAGTTTCAGGAAACTCTTCATCATCTTCCATGTCTGCCATGGCTGGTGTTAATGATTTACCTGACAGACACAGACAACAGCTGGACAGAAGGTAATTTACATATATATATAATATAATATAAAATATAAAATTGATATATTTCTTGTTTTTTTAGATATCAAAGTATCAGAAGAACAATTGCTCAAGCGAGACATGCTAGTCCATCACAACAAATACCTCCAAATTGTTCAGGAAACATAGAGAATCAGCAGCAAATTTCTAGTCAACAAAATCAGCATTCCAATCCACAACAACAGCAGACAGCACCATTGCCAGCTTTGACTTTGCTTATAAGACCTGATTTTTACTCGTTGTTGCACACAAATCAGGTAAAGATTTTAAAGAATAACAGGTTGTTGTAGCTTGTTATAATATTAGACACATTGATAGATTAGATAATTTAATTTTGCATAAATTGGCCTAATGTTTTATTAAAATCAGACTAATAGTTTGAGTTACAATGAATTTAATGCATAAAATCCTATGTTATAGTAGGTATTGTATTCTTTTTGAACTATAAGTAGTACAATAGGCTAACATATTTATTTTCCCCAGGATGCCTTAGCCTTATACAACCGCAACCCAGCCTTAAAACACATGGTATCCAGAATCCGCAGAGATGCATCATCCATCAACCAACTTGTGCCACCAAATTTAAACCAGTCACCAAACCACCACCAGTTAGTATCAAATCCTCAATTTTCCCCACAATTTTCCATGAACCACCAACCGAACGGCCAAGGTCAGTTTCATCAAATGGCGTCATCGTCGTTAGCCAATCAGCAGCAGTCTTTACTTGGCAACCATTTGGTTCAAAATGCTGCTAAATACTGCCTAAGTTTCACCAGGTATCAACATAATAAGGATTTGGTGGCTTTGGTGAACGCTTTTGCAGATAGGGCCAGGGATTTGCCACCTGGATGGGAGAGCAAGAGGGATGGAAATGGAAAAGTGAGTAGAAGTAATGATTGACCCATTTGTAACATAATTTTTTATTAATATTAATAAATATATCTGAGAATGAAAGAGTTTTTAAATTTATTTTATATAACATAAGTGTTTTTATTAATTTGATTCTTTAATTTATTTCTAGGAGTTTTTCATTGATCACACAAACAGAAGAACAACTTTTATGGATCCCAGGATACCTTTGGAAAGTCCTATAAGGAATCGTCAGGGAAGGCAGGATAATGAAAATGTAATTATATAAGATATATATATATATATATATATATATATATATATATATATAATTTATATATAAATTAATTTAAATATTTTCTTATTTTAGGCACCTGTTGTACCTCCAAGACCTCCAAGTTCTCCTAGACTTAATGCTCAACATATTGAAATTCCTATTGCTTATAATGATAAGGTAAATATATAAATGAATATATAAATATTTATATATATTTATATATATATATATATATATATATACATATATATATATATAATAAAATATTTACGTTACTTATATGTAACATATATGTAACAAGTTTGTTTTATTGTTATTACTTATCTGTGACTGTTTTTTACAATTTTTCAGGTAGTAGCTTTTCTAAGGCAACCCAATATTTTAGAAATTTTAAGGGAACGACATTCGGCAGTAGCTACCAGTAGGACTTTGAGGGAAAAAATTAATTGTGTTCGAGTCGAAGGGACTTCAGCACTGGAAAGGCTGGGACATGATTTGCAGTTGACAATATTATTAAGGTAAGTTTATATTTTATATATATATATATATATTACAAATGTATTCTGAGTGGATAATAGATATTAATTTAAAATATGACAAACAACCACTCTTTTTGCACTAATTTATTAAATAATATTTTCACAAACGTTTCGAGACTAGGTTTGTCTCATCATCAGTGTGTTATAATTAAAAATTTTTTAAAATATGGAAATCTAAATTAGCATGTTGTGTTTTCATTACACGTCGTTCACTGCACGTTGTTCTTTTAATCACTGTCTTCGGTATTCGTATTCTCTCCTACTTGAAAACCACTTGAAATTGTAAAGTCACTCAATCAGATAGGAAAAAAAGGATTAGGGTCCAGTTGAAAAATAGATGTCGTTAGGAGAAAAAATATTCTATGATGAGATGGTTTGTTTATAAGATTTGTTATACATTGTTATAATTAAAAGTGTATGTTACTCTATATATAAGCTACAAAGTATAAATGAGATTCAGGTATGTATCATGTAATATATTGGTATCTGTCCGTAAATTACTGTGTTACTTGTATGGGCTATTAACATCGATTCTGCAATACTTCTTTTAAATAAATCTTGTTCATAATATAAAATGTGTGGATTATTGAAATCGAAACTATGGCTGTTAGAGATAGCGTGGTCTACAAGTGTAGACTTGATTAGAATTGAGTAGAATTGAGTGACTTTACAATTTCAAGTGGTTTTCAAGTAGGAGAGAATACGAATACCGAAGACAGTGATATTAAAAGAACAACGTGCAGTGAACGACGTGTAATGAAAAACACAACATGCTAATTTAGATTTCCATATTTTAAAAAATTTTTTAATTATAACACACTGATGATGAGACAAACCTAGTCTCGAAACGTTTGTGAAAATTTATTTAATAAATTAGTGCAAAAAGAGTGTTGTTTGTTCATATTTTCAAATTAATATATATATATATATATATGTTATAGTTTTGTAACATGCTCTTTGTGCTTCATGCAAATTCATGTATAACTTTTGCAAGTTTAATATAAAATATTTAAAAGTCACAATATATATTGCTTTATTTTTCAAAAGTCACAATATATATTACTTTATTAATTTTTTGAAGAATTTTTGTTTTTTAAACCTGGTTAAAGACTGAAGTGTTAAACCAAAAAAGGTTTAACACTTCAGTCTTTATGATAATTAGTTGCTTTCGTTAGATATTAAATATCTCAAATATTTGTGAAAAGTCATATCAATTTTAGCATTTATTATTATAGTAGATTTATTGAAGTATAACATATTAAAAGAATAGCGTTTACTTTACTATTTTAATTTAACTATGCTATTTATGTAAAATGAGGTGTTTTGTAAGAAAATTGTTATTTTTTCTTACTTTTGTGGAGAAATATATCTGTTTTAGTATTGGCTGACATAGTAGGCATATTGGACAAATATTATTTTTTTAACTTTCTACAACGTCCAGAAATTATAAGTTAGGGTCTTCTTGAAGAAATTTGGCATTATCTCAAAATTTTGTGAGAAAACATAAATTTTAGTATTTCTCATCATACTAGACTTAAAGTATAATAACATACTCAAAATACTACATTCTAAAACCATGGCAATAATTTACTATTTGAAATTACTCCTCTAATTTATCAATTTGTATTTATTATTTTTTTACTTTTATCGTATTTGCAAATATATCAAATTTTTCAAAATTGATGAGAATATCAGTTTTAGTATTTGTTTAAGTTATATTTGAGAATTTACATTTAAATACAACATACGCGAATAACAGTATTATAGAGTCAATAACATCATGGCAATTTTTACAACCAGTGGCGGATCCAGGGGGGGTCACGGGGGTCATGACCCCCCCCTGAGTCTGTTTTAGGGACTTAGATAAAAGCTAATTCAAAACAAATTACTTCATAATGATTTTATTTATGTATTTTGTTACCAAACACATTTTATAACTTGAATATTTAACTGATTGTAGACGAATGACGGAGTCAAAAACCCTAAAATTTAAGGATTTTTTAATCGTATTGCGAATATAAGTTTTATTTCAGTTTAGGAACAAAATTTCATTCAAAAATAAAAAAATTAAACTCATTGTGAGTGGTCCTTATGCAGAACTTTCAGTAATCCTAACATCTGTAAATAGACAACTTAATCAATATATAAACTAGTGGGGTGTATGGCATCGTGCCTTAAGGCAAATTGCTGGAACTTCCCGTACCTTAACAAATTTTCGAGAAATACTAAATGTTTTCAAATAGATTTTATAAATATTGTAACAATGTCTGATATTTATAAGAATTATATAAACTGAATTGCAAAGTTAAAACTATTTATTTGAAGTATATAAGTTTTAAACTTTAGTCAGAATCATACTAAAATCTGAATTATTTTCGATATACAAAAAAAAGTTTTGAAAAAAAATTAAGCCAATTTTTTTTCAAAATCAATTATTTTGCCAAAACAGCAAAGTTCTTTGAAATCATTCAAATCGGCGGCGCTCAGTTCTCTTAAAAACTGCCATTTTTTTGCACATTTAGCTCAGTATCTTCGAAATTGCTGGATCTGCTTTTGCCAAAAACTAATCACCTCATCTCACAATCATTACAAACTCAATGTTTTTTAGATTATTCAAATCGGATACTCCGTTCTCTCAAAAACTCGATTTGTATTTTCTGCACTCTTTACTCGTATCTCCGTAACTGCTAGACCTGTCTTTGCGAAAAACTAATCAGCACATCTCCCTATCAATAAGAATCGAATGTTTTTTAAACCATGA